TTTTGTCGTCATTCTGCTTCTGGATCTATTTATCTGGTGGTATATGTGGATGATATTGTCATCACAGGTAGTGATCGATATGGGATCACTCGATTAAAACAACACTTATGTCATCATTTTCAGACTAAGGATCTTGGGAAACTTCGATACTTCTTGGGAATCAAGGTGGCCCAATCTAAAGCTGGTGTTGTGATATCTCAGAGGAAATATGCTCTGGATATTCTTGAAGAAACTGCTCTGTTGAATTCAAAGTCTGTTGATACTCCTATGGATCCAAGTATCAAGCTTCTACCAAATCAGGGGGAGCTCTTTTCAGATCCTGAGCAGTATAGAAGATTGGTTGGAAATTGAACTACCTCACAGTCACTCGGCCTGATATTTCTTTTGCAGTTAGTGTTGTCAGTCAATTTTTCAATTCTTCATGTCAAGAACATTGGAATTCAGTCATCCGTATTCTTAAGAATATCAAGGCATCTCCAGGAAAAGGCCTTGAATATAAAGATAAATGTCATGATAAAGTTGTTGGGTACTGTGATGCTGATTGGGCTGGCTGTCCAGCTGATAGGAGATCTACTTCTGGGTATTGTGTATTTGTTGGAGGCAACTTGATTTCCTGGAAAAGTAAGAAACAAAGCGTAGTTGCCAGATCAAGTGCTGGAGCAGAATACCGCTCCATGGCGACTATTACTTGCGAGCTCATCTGGCTTAAACAGCTTCTCAGAGAGCTTAAGTTTGGAGACACTGGACATGCAACTCTCATTTGTGATAATCAAACAGCACTACACATTTCATCAAATCCGGTGTTTCATGAAAGTACCAAGCATATAGAAATAGATTGTCACTCTGTTCGAGAAAAGGTTCTTGCTGGTGAAATTAAAACTAGCTTTGTACCCTCCAATGAGCAATTAGCAGATGTGTTTACAAAATCTTTGAGGGGCCCTCGAATAGAGTTTATATGTAACAAGCTTGGTGCATATGACCTATACGCTCCAGCTTAAGGGGGAGAGTTAGAAATATATTGTAATTAGGGTTTCCTTATTTTGTATTAGGTCTGATTATATTAGATTTGGGCTTAGTCCATTAGTTTGTCTATATATATTGTACATCTTTCATCAGTTGATACACACAATATTATTTCAAATGTTCCTCTCTTCTCTCTTCTGTCTTGTTATTTAACAATAAATATGTTGAGAGTAATTTTAATGTACTTGTTTATAAATTTTAATTAAATAAAAAAAGGGTCTTACTAAAAAAGTATGCAAGTGAAATTATTTGTTCGCGTCATACATACGTTAGTTTGTTTCTTGTATTTTGTTCTTTCTTTCCCACTACATAAAAAATAAATAGTTCAAACAATAAAATAAAATAAAAACATATTTTATTTCTCTTCCTTTCAATTGGGCATGACACCTCTACAAGTGTTTTAAAACTAGGATTGGTGATCGACTCGGTTAAGTTACTGGGTCACTGGGTCAATGGTCCAACCGGATTCAACTGAATATACTGTTCACATGTTAAAAAGATATATAAATATATTACTTATATTAAAAATTTACAAAAAATTAACTATCAATAATTGTTTTTTTTTTTTGGAAAAATCAATAACGGGCTTTAAATTATTATATAACTTAGCTTTATGAGAAATAAATATAAAGGTACAAAACAAAAACCTTTACCGAACCATCCAGTCATTCTACCGGTAAATCAACAACCTTTGATAATTGATAATTCCTCTTAAAAAACAAAAAAACAACTATCAAGATCTCATGAAACTCCCTGCGTGAAACAATACCTCATTGGACTTGTTTTTTTTTTTTTTGCTTCTGTGGTTGGAACCTTTTCCTTTGGTCGTCTTTGATTTTCTGTCTCTCTGGTTAATGTTGTTCTGAGGAAGGAACAGTGGGTTTCTTCCCTTTTGGGTTGTTGGTTTCCATTGGGTTGTGCTTTTTGTCACAGTTTTTGACTCTGAAATGGAGAGAGATTTCATGGGTCTGAGCTCAAAAGAACCACTAAAAACAATTGCTTTTCTTCCAAGCCTTCTTTTGCTATTAGATGTTGAGTTTTCCACCCTTCAAATATTCGCTTATAACAACAAAACCCTCTTCACTTGTTCTTCGTCCATTGGGAGTTTTTGGTTTCAATAGGCGAAGTGCATCATTGCTTTCTATCCTCTGCTTTTCTTCTGCTTCGCGCACATGCATCTCGCCATTTTGGAGTTTGGACCTAGTTGATTTCTTTGCTTCATGGGATTTCACTGCCGACCCTTGCAACTTCGGAGGCGTGGGAGGATATGAGTCCCACATCGATTAGCGTATGAAAAAGCATACTATTTATAAGCCCTTTTAGTTAGGACCTACAAGCGAAAATTTGATTCGATTTTTATTGGTTCAGATGCATAACCGATCTAATATTTTGCTCGAACCCGTCACATGTTCTGTTTATCGGTTTTTGAATTGAACCAAATGATCGGAGCTGGTTTTTAAAAAAAGTTTATAACTTTATTATTTTTATGAACCTATTATACATTTCAATGGCCCAATCCGTTAAATCAACTCACCTTGTAATCACACACAAACAATTTAGCACTTAAAAACTCTACGTGTCATGTAACTATTGGCACACGAGAGTTTATGAAAACTTCATAAAAGCAAGGTTTCGTTAATATACTACTTGTTGAGAGCTAGCCCTATTCCCCAGAGTATATGCCACACACCATGTAACTCAAACAAATTCCCTCCTATCATCCCATGAATAAGCGAGAGGGCCCAAACAATAACTCAGGTTAGCCCTCTATGACCAAAATCCACTCCATGTTCGGATGGAACACCAAATGGGCCGCAACAAAACTTCTTTGGCCCATTACTCTGGGCAAGAATAATGATTTAATTTGTAAATTTTATTAGGAGAATACTACTGTCATTTTGACTCATTTATTTATTTTAAAAGAGTGGACTCCACATGCTTTGAGTCTATGATATAATATATGAGTCTCCTATAACATGAGACTAATATTTTTCATTTTATTATCTAGTTTTTAATGTTTAACATAAAATCTTTAATTTTTTTAAAATTGATGCTATGGTATATATATATATATATATATATATATATATATATATATATATATATATATATATATTTATATGTATATATATATTTATATGTATATATATATGGGCGGATCCGTTGACACCGGTGTTAAACTTTTAAATTTTGATACCAAAATTTAACCGTTGATTTTCGCCAATCAACATTTATCATTTATTTGAAATCAAACTTACTAATTAGTTATTAATTCTCAATAAATGATAACCGTTGATTGACGAAAATCAACGGTTAGAATTTGATGTCAAATTTCAAAGTTTGACATCGGTGTCAAATGATCTTATTCCATATATATATACAGATGTAGGATCTTTTGACACCAGTGTCAAATTTGAATTTTGACACCTTACCTGAGAACCCTTAGATAAAAAAAAAAAAATCAATGGTGTCCCATGCTTAGAAATCAGAGCCGTTGATTTTTCTTGATCTAATGGCTCTTAGATGAGGTGTCAAAGGATCTTACCTCATATATATATATATATATATATATATATATATATATATATATATATATTAAAATGAAACCAAATTTTATTCATAAATTTTCACTAGTAAATCTAGCCACCATAAGTCACATGTCATGGGATATATGAACTATGTTTAATTATTATATTATTATTTATCCTTGATATATGAACTATATTATGATTGGATTTAATATATCTTTAATAGAATCAATTATCATTCTTCAACTGATAAGAAATTTATTTTTCTTAATAAAAATTTCGAGTCCCGATAATAGAAAAAAACATTCTTAGGATGGAAGTTTCAATTCTTATTTTTTTGGTGAAAGCTGATTGTATATTTTAAACGCTACTAGTCATTATCAATTATAATATATAGATGATAACAGAGAAAACTAGTGCAACATATAGACTAATGAAATTCTCTGGTAGGTTATATGAAGACCGACCACACGTGAACTTGGATGCTCAGAATATTTTGCAATGATGATTCTATATTGCAACCAATATGTGCTTTGTGATGATGGAATCCATTACAAGAAGCATTTCATGCAAATTTAAAATCAGTGATGCTTCTGGGAATTTGCTAACTTTATTCATGCTAGTTTTTGAATGGCTGCTCTAAGCGAATTTCTCATGCGAAGTGCTGAGGCTGTAAAGGGGATTCCCTAGTGCAAAAGGATGCAAACCACTCGGAACCAATAACTAATTTGGAACATTTTTCTTTCTAAATATAGCTACTTTTTTTCTTAAAAAAAGTTCGGCCTGGTCAAGTACCCCCTTAAACTTTTGAGACCATATGAGCAAAAAGTTTGGTAAAATATATAAAAAGGTGAACCATGCTAGAGAATATTCTCTATAAACAAATCTGTTGAAAAATTCTCCAGTCTTAAACATTTTTATATTTTTCCCTTTGACCACCGAAGAGCCAATTGCCTAAATAAAGAACCGTAAATTATATAGTTAACCTCAATTATACCTACTTTTTGGTATCCTGATTCCATTTTGCTTCTTACTTTGTCTTTTTGAACCTAACCAAGAGCTTTATAACATTCTATAGGATTACTACTTGTTTGGAACTTTCCTGTAGCGCATAAAATAAGCTTAGTGGCATGTTGCATGAAATGAAAATCCTAGGAAGCACAATCCTAATTTTCATTTTCGTTTTCCTTTCACCATTTTATAAAAATAATCACAAACACAAACACAAACACACTTATTTTGGTCCCTTACCATCAATTGACTCAAGTTTCAGCAAAAAAAGATTATAATGAAATGTGTGCTTATATATTACTATCGGTATTGTTCATAGACAAGGCTAAATGTTACTATAACATCACAAAAGGCATGTCCAAAGGCTTGAGCTTGAGTTTCACTGTCAATAACTATCCGAGGCAAATAAATTACAATTATTTGTACAACTAAATCCGAATGTCTCATTTTATTTTTTATTTTTTAATATTCCAGTGTTATCTGTGCTATACAGTTGGAATTTCTTAACCTTAATCCCAACCCCAGTACCATGATTAGTTAAGATACCCCTCACTCCCCAACCTATCATTGAACCCATACTAGGCCATAAATGAATCAATTCACTGAGAAAATAATCCCACTATTATAGCATGACAATATAGGTATCAACAAATTGCATAGGTTAATGACACTTTAGTCTTAAACAACTTTTACAGGGTTGGGAAACAGCAATCCTCATTTTCCAACTTTACCAAAACTGAATTTCTTTGCTGCTCCACCCTCTGAAGATGTGAAGACAACTGGAACAGATCAACAGTGGCACCATGTTCAGAGGAAAGACGATATTTGACATTGAATAAGCCTGATGGTTGGCAAATATCATCTTTGTGGACTTGAAAAGTATGACCAGCACCAGAATGTATTGTGGATCCATTCTTGACAACTTCCTTAGAGTTTGTACCACATGGAAAGGGCTCTTTTGGTACATATTTATCCACAGAGCTTAACCTCAAAGGTGTTTCAGAAACTTGGTCATCTCTGTCATGCATGCAGATGCCCTGAAAAATAAGGGAACTAGCTAATGGATTTCCTGCAGAGTGGCATGATGGATTCTGTGACTGAGATGACAGAAGAGAGAGAGCACGGTTTGATAACTCCTGACCAAGTGTGATGGGTGCTGCTAGCGGAGGATTGTAATTTGATTCATCTTCCAATTTGATATATCCACTCTCAAAGATTTGATCATGCTTTCCTTGGAAAAGGATGCCACTTTGAAATATGTCTTGAAAGGCAAAGTGGGGTCTGTTCTGTAATGAAGACCCCATATACTTGGTACCTGTTAACACATTCAATGTAACAGAAGTTCTTATTCTTTGGGTGGTTAGGTAGTGTAACTGCAGAAACTTTCTTTGAAAAATAAGATTATAACAGAAATCAACACCAAAAACAATATAGGACACTTTTAATTTCTAGCCTGAAGACGTAGATCTGAAAGCAGTAGTTCCTATTATTTTCTTGAGCATTAGTGGAGAACAGTTAAAATTATAAATAGATATTATATAACTTCATTACAACTGTAACAATCCTTAGTGCCTTGCTTTAAGTATAGATTAATCTTAGGACGTATCTTACATTTCTTTATTAGGTATATGGTAACCTCGGATATAGGATACAATTCATCCTTGTAACTTGTAAGAATTTTCCTACAGTGAACTTTTCTTGAAATTTTGAATTGAATAATTTTTTTTAAATAATTGTGGAAATGCAATATAAAAGGGCTTTTTCACCCTTTTGCCCCTTATTAATTAATTAATAACCATTTTGCCCCTGATTCGAAACTATCTACCAATTTGCCCCTCTTTAATCGACTACCTTGCACTTTTAATCGACTAAATGGCCAAAACAGGCAAAAATGGTTGTTGGGAGATTTAATCGACTAAATCTCCCTATTTAGTCGACTAAATCTCCCAACAGACAACAAAGGAAAACAAGTCAGTATGATTTTTTAATCGATTAAGTAGGGAGATTTAGTCGATTAAATCTCCCAACAACCATTTAGTCGATTAAAAATGCAAAGTAGTTGATTAAAGAGGAGCAGATTGGTAGATAGTTTCAAATCAGGGGCAAAATGGTTATTAATTAATTAATGAGGGGTAAAATGGTCAAATAGCCAATATAAAAGTCCCACCACAATATAGAAAACAAGGCTTTAACACTGGTATGTTTTGCTTGAACTTTGTGCATAAAATATTCTAATAACTACATACAAATATTCATTAAATGGTCAACATCATTCCCTGGGACCACGATAATTAAGAGATAGAGTGATAATATAATTTAAAGAACCTGTAAGTGCCTCTTTTGTCTGAAATGTTTTAAAAAAATCATGCTATCTTTTCTAGATTTAATGGATTTAATTTCAGTTCATGGCAGGTATTGTATCATTATCATTTGAAAACTCCTCCGCAGTTGCAAAAAAAATCATTGGACAGGGAGCATAAAAGAAGCTTTAGGTGCAGCTAATATGGCCACCTTAGCTTGAGTTGACCCAAATTTCTTATAGTATTGGCATCTTACTATTAAATGAAGACATTTCACTTTCTTCTTTAAATGACTTCATTATCATGATTGATATTTCATAAAACATTTTAAAAAAAAAAATTATAACATAATCAAACATACATTATTAATTTAGTTATGCGCTATTTGACAAAGTTCTTGATATATCTGCTCTTATAGTGACAAAAAAGCATGATATATATTGTTTATGTCAAGAAGCAACTAATAGAAAATGCCAAAATTGATTTATAATCGTCCCTTGAGGATCAGGTAGAGATTCTGCTATACAACCGGTACACCATGGGCTCATAAAAAAAATATAACAACCATGTCGAAGAGGGCATAAAAGAAAAAAGAAATATATGAGCAAAAGACAGGAAATCAGATACCTATCAATGTCATATAGTGCTGCATAAGCTAACGAAGTAAAAAACTTAACATCAGTATTAAAAATTCTTTTAGTTACGTTAAAAATTAGAGGTATATCACATAATATACAACCTACTTATTTTATGCACCAAATTTATCAACTATTACCTATAATTTAAAGTGATTGTACTTGCTTCAGAATTTAAATCCCTAAACCTTATTTAAAACTCAAATTTATGTAATATTGCAATGGTCCTACCAAATTGTATTTGAAGTATTCTACTCAAACTTAAGAAAAGGGGTTCAATCTATGATGAATTGAAGTGTTTTTCTTTTTCTTTTTCTCAATAAGGTTAAGTCATGTTTGCTCACCTAGTGGGTTCTAAATTTTATGATTTTTTTACCAATATCTCATTCCAAGTGTGCAAAAAAATATCAGACCCAAATCATCAAAAACATCATGATGTCGATTTTGGAATATAATTCTAGTTGTTAGGCTACACTATTGAACGCTTCATGTCAATATCATTCCTTCCTGGTTACATTGAACTTCAAGAACATGTGCGACCAATTATCAGCTACATAAATCCAAATAAGAACCGACCAGAAATTTCTACATGCATTTTCCTTTGCTGTTCTTTTTTATCTAGTTCCCTATCTTCCTAAGTCTTTTTCCAGCACACTCCTCTATATATCCTCCACACCAAAACATTAGTCTCTAAACGTTATGAATGCCTCGACCTTTTTGATTGATTTTTCTTTGTCTTTCTTTAATCAAAACCATCACTGCATTATATCTTACATCTTCATTTTCCCCTTTATCCTCATTACATAGCATAATATTTATTTAAATTGTATTTAGGCTAAAGAGTAAAGAGGTTAGATATGAAAAGGTTGAATATTGGAGATGAAACCCATCCATAAGAGCTGCTAATGACAAAAACAAAAAAAATTGCACTTAGACAAGAAAGTAGAAGCTTTGAAAGTTGAAACATTAAACTACAATTCTGTCTTATGTATGTTAACGAAGGTATTAACTGAATTGATTTTTCATACCTTGATATGACTGAAGAATCTTGTGTTGTTTACCAGTCATGTAATCAAACTGAGGTTTCCTTCGGCGTTCATTGTGACCTGCTAGACGCCTGCGACAACTACGCTTACCATCATCAAACTCAGCCAGCAAATGGAACCTAATTTAAGATTAAAAAAAGTCTAATTCAATACATAAGTAACAATCAAGTTCAATCCGTTAACACTAACATCAAAGCCAAGAAGATATATCACCTGGAATACAAGACAGTGAATCTATGCTCATATCATATACATTTTTTAATCAGAATTTAGTTAATTTGGTTTGTCATTCACTTGAACTACATTGTTGGAGGGAAAGAAAACTCTTAAATCATCGTATTAATAGAACACAATAGGAGAGCCATATGAAAGTAAAAAAACCAAGAGAAGCACTAAAATTTTTAGTTGGGTTTTCTATAGCAAATTCTTTGCTCAATTTTTCTTTGTTTGTCACCAACAGGATTGGGCTACCACACCAATTAAACAAATATAAGAATCTTATATAAATGTCATGATGAGATGACCACCTGATTGTAAGACAAGTATAAAAGATGCAATATTACTACCAAAGGAACCCAAAAATTACTAACCTGCTGCACTGCTGACAAAACCTCTGTTCAATGCCATTAACAATAACTTTAGCTGTCTTGGAGTGAACATCACAAACTTTATGCCTTTTATGGTAATCTTTTGAGGAGCTAAGATCCATGTTACAACCATAAACTTGACATACAGGAGCCTGAGCAGGTAAGCTGGAAGTGCGAGCTCTCTTTGCAAGCGTGGTTGGATGTATAGATGTTAAAGTGAACCCTTCTTTTGAAATTTGATCACTGCTTGCACCTTTACAATCTGCAAACCTCCCTAGCTTCAGATCAATCAGTGAAGAATCATAACTTTTGGATTCAACTAGAGAACTTAAATGCTTTGACTCCAATTCTTCTTCACCTAAAGATGAATCCAGAGCAATAACATGGGTGGAGGAATTCCCTCTTTTACTAGAATTACTATCTAGGTCACAGCTGGATGTCTCTAGAGGCTGGCTACCATGAAAAGACTTTTGGAACAAGTCAGGAAACCCCAACTCCACAAATTCCATGCTATTAACTCCCTCTCTGTCTGAATTAAATCCATCTCTCTCAAAGTTACAGGAAGATTTGTTGTCCCATTCAACCAATGCTTTTCTACTTCTCATAAAAGCATCCAGTGAAAAATCCATTTCATCAGAAAACAAACACCCTTTCTCTTCAGGGACGTAACTCCAAGATTCCATTAGTACAACTGAATAGAAGTCCCAGAAGCTATGAAATAATGAAGAAACCTACCACAAATAAAATTTCTATGTTGTTAGAATCGAAATTTCCATTACTACTCCAAGAAATACATTACTCCTTTGCTAGAATAAAAATTTCATGTTGAGAAATATCATTTTATTACACCAAATTCAGGCATAAACATGCTATACAAGACATACCTATAGATATAGAAAAATAAAGTACATGTACTAAACGAGCACTAGGGAAACCAAATGAAAGAAACTGGCATAACAACCATGTCAAAATGTAACAGATTCCCCAAAACTTAATGTTTACCCAAAAAAAGAAAAGAAAAGAAAAACAGATCCCACTTTGTTTTATAGAGAGAAAATTCATAATCCCTGACCTGCTGCCAGCCATTAATAGCATAAAAAAAATCTCAACTTTTTCAACAGGGACATCCAAAAATCATATCAGTTTGACACTAAGGTTAGACAAATTTTAAAAGGGTAAACCAAATCAAAACTATATTGGAGGACTAGTTATATTCCAGGTTTCAACTCTCCATAACATTTGAAACCCCCAATGGATAAAGTAAAAAGCTGGGAGCTCAAACAGTGCTGCTGCAGAAGAAAGGTAGAAAAGAAGAAGCAAATGAAAATGCCCATGAAAGAAGCAGCTGAAAGGACTCATTTTTATTCAGAGGATAAAACGAAACAAACCGTTAAAAAAAGAAAAAATGCAAAACTAGGCTGCTGACAGATTAAGGAAAAATGAAATGAATTGGCCCATCTCACTATTCCATGATTCTTCTATCTTTATCAACACAGTTTCTTGGTAACCAAACAGGATTTATGCATAAAAAAAAAAATGGCATCTTGAAATAACCTGAGAGATGGGTGGCACCTTGTGAATGGTTTTGGCACACAGCAGAGAGAGAGAGAGAGAGAGAGAGAGAGAGAGAGAGAGGAGTGGTTTTTTCTCAGAACAGTGGTAACATTGACGCAGATACAGCATGAGTCAACACGATTTCCTCTACAAGCAAATTAAATACACGATGGGGTCTTTTGTAGCTTTTAAGACACGACTGGAATTCCATTATAGTACAAGTGATTTGGTTCTATTTACATAAACGGACCAAAAAGTAGCATTCATTATTGGAAAACAAATTATAGGAAAAGAACATGAAAAACAATGTTTAAACCCATCTTATTTTAGGATATATTGTTTTTAACGTGACATGAGATAAATTATCTCATGTAATAACAAAAAAATAAATAAAATCAGAAAAAAGAAAAAGAAAACAAGTGAGTTGGATTCCATTCATTTTTTTATATATTGCGGAAGATAAATTATTTTATGTAATATGAAAAATTATATTTTCTTTATTTTATTTTTAAACTAAGATGCCTGGTGTGTTCACTGTTCAATGAGGAAAGAGAGTTTTTGGATAAGAATGATGGGTATATGAAGAGTGTGAATTGTTGATTTGAAATTGATTCGACACTAATAAGAATAATAAGAATGATACTAATAAGAGGTAATATATTTAGGTAGTGTTTGGTTCAAGGTTTATTTTGGGATTGATGGGAAAGTGTAAGTGGATATTAGAAAATACCACGTTTGGTTCAGGTTTTTTCAAAAAATATCAGTCAAATAGGATAGATTGGAAAATGACTTTTGTATTGATTTTTGGATGAAATTTACTGTTACAGAATATCACTTGAGATGTGGTATTTTGAGATAACCGGAGAAGTGAAAAAACATGTGCAAAGTTTCTCCTGAACATAGATTTTGCATATTTAAATAAATTTCTCTGGTAATATTTGGGTCAACCAAACAATTTTTTTTACATTTTCCTACCAAACTCATTTTCCTATCAATTACATTTTCTTAGTAAAAATTTTTTTCTCCCGAACCAAAGGGAAATACTATTATCTGGAAAACAGTCAAAAACAGTAACATATTCATGCAGAGATAAAAATTTAAGCGAAAAAAGAAAAAATTAGGTGAGGAAAAAAAATTTCGTAAGACCTAGCAAATTTTTATTTCTGCGGAAACATGTTACTGTTTTCCAGTAACATAATAAAATATAACCGGATTCTTAAAATATCCAAATGCTTCTAAGAAAGCATTTTTAAAATAAAATTCTCCACACAAAAAAAAAAAAAAAACCAAGCATGATATAAATAAGCAAGTTAGTATTCCTATAACAAGTTATTTCTTCTTTTGTCTCGCTTATATCAAATTGAATAGGAGTAGCTTATTATGCGAATTAAGTGTATGCATGGAATAATTTAATTTATAAAAATAAAATAAAAATTGCTGAATTTTTTAATTCCAAAATAAACTAATATAAACATATATTAACGGTTATTATGTGTAATTAAATGTTATACAAGTATTCAGTGACGGAGCCATATTTGATGGAAGGGGTGCCTTAACCTAACTTATTTTTAAAAATTAGTCGTATTTTAAATATGACTAAAATAACTTTTTACGTTTTAATGTTTTGACACCAACTAAATTTTTATCGACTCTAGGTGAATTTGGAGGCTGAATCCATCACCAGATGTATCTTATATACACACCACAACACTAAGTCACTTAGGATAATGGTTTATAAATTCATCAAGAAAAGTTTGTTATCATTGTCCCATTTTCATTTATTTTCTTGGGATAAGGTCAATAGTGTCTGCCTTATTTTGGTCTTAGGCTCAAAGTAGGTTGCAACTCTTTATCTTTTATTTTTTAGATATTTCTACAATAAAGAAGTATTTAATTTATAGTCGATATTTTTGCTCTCCACATGAATCAAATTTAAGCTATTAATGAATATAGAGCCTGTTGTTGGATCTGGATAAGGAATTCTAATTTAGAACATGTTCTATGAATTTCATAATTTTTTTTATTAAAACCGTAACATCTCAGTTAAACTATTAAAGCTATATATAGTTAAAACAAGATACATTAGTCACACATAACTAAATATAAGATAAATTCCTTACTTTGAAAATGCTTAAAAATCTATACTTTTTTTTGGCTTCTAGAGTGTGGTGTCTGCTGTAACATAACTTATTAATAGTGTGCGGCGGTTGATGTTATGAGTATTAATGATAATATTAACTAATAAACGAACAGCCATGGGAATCAAAAGTTGCAGCGTGTTGGCATCTGGGTATGGTTGTGACTTGTGGCCCCTTCTGCTGAGTTGATTTCTTTTTACTGTTGGAAAGCATGCTTTATCATGTTCAATTTCATGTCCACTTATAACAATTAAGAGACTTGCCATGTATGGCTACCTTTTGTTTCTCAAAAAGGTTACATTCCCCGTGAAAAGTAGTTAAGTAATATATAAACATAAAAGTTATGCGTTTCATAAAAATATAACTTCACTCTCTTCTTTCTTTATTGGAATAAAATCAATTTAAACCAGAATAAGAATAATGAATCTAACGATAATAATTTATTGAATTATACTAATTAATTAATTATTAATTTTTACAAAAATACAACCATAATATGCATGAAAATCAACAACTAAATTTTGATGGAAGATAATTATTAAAATTACATCGGTGTTGACCTTATCCCTTATTTATTAGTGTGTGCTTCTAGCTTGTAAAAATAAGTTAAAAGAAATGATAATGATGCTCTCATCCCTCGATCTTCAAGAGTAAGGAAGTCTAATTTTAACAAAGTCAAACAGCAAACTTTGTAGTCATGGCTTTAACCGTTAAAATGATACAATAAAAGTTTAGATTTATGCCATTCTGTAAATTATTCAAAAATTTCACTACTTGTATATTTCTAATGCCTTATTTTCATTTATTTTATATAAAATTTTTGGCTTCGGCTTCGGCTTCCTCGTGAGTTTGCAATACTTGGGACTAGATTTTCAAAGGCCTTATATGGGATAACAAGTGTTAGGGTTGTGGGCTTTATGCAATGGATTGGGTGGCTTTTGCCAAAACATGTTGGTGGCCATGACAAAGTTTTAGTAGGCAGAATTAGACAGCTAGAAGTTAATGAAACATTAATATATACAAGTTCGTTGATAAGAAATTAATTACAAGTGCGCCATATTTCTCAACAACAATTGACAATAGTCCAAGCTAGCTCTTATAACTCACTATTGCGTTATTACTTATTTATAACTTTTTACTAGAAGTTTGTTGACAAGCAATTACAGGGTGCAACATATTTTTTCCACCATAATAAATAACATGCAACTTGGGAGGGATATCCATTACTCATCACTCTAATTCTTACCAAACATATTAATAACTTTTGTTGCACCAAATTATAGAAATAGTAACATTTGCTTTGAAGATGGTAAAATTGTTGGCCAACGTGGATTGGAAATATTAAGGCAATCATGTAATCTGTCACTTTCTTGTAGTATGGTTGTTCAATGATTTGATTTTTCTGAGCCGGCTATGATATGATTTTATTGTCATTAGGAAGCTTGTGATTGTCTGAAACATATCAGACAAATGAGATTCACGTCATTTAAGATAATATATATGGGATTCTTCAACCAATCCATATAATTACAGGGACAACAATTAATATAGGAAAAGCTAATAAAAGACTTGGAATTGAGGCTATCAACTTTGTGTGTTATTTGTACTCTACGGTTGCATTTATCATACATAACAAAACTCCCATTATTTTCTATATCTCATTGCAAGTGGAGTGTGACACACAATACCCTTCAAAGTGCTATCTATGTGTGTTTGGTGACCCTACAATTTGTCAAATCAAAATATGAAGGGTGAAGATGGAGAGGGCGTGCTTGAGTGGGTAATGGGAATTGGGAAGTGTGATTCTGACCTTATCTCATGTTAAGATGACGCTAAGCCTAGCTTGATTTTCCTTTTCAATTTCAAATTTTCAGTGCAGGCCACTAAACCATTTATGCCATGAGACTTTCGCCCACTGTAGAAGAACCCTCCGTTTCTCCCAAAAACAAAGAACATCTTTATTACTCCTATAACAAATTATGGTAGGTCAGCTGATAATAAAAGAGTTAAAAAAATAAAAATAAAACACATGTCATTTTTGGAGAGATTTAAATATTTTTATCCATGACTCGCTCCGCACTTTGAATTAGTCTCATAGTCAACTCAAAGAGTAAAAACTTGTGAGAATACCAAAGTGAGCCAACTCACCTCTAATAGTATTTAGAGTTGAGTTAACTCCAAAAAAAAAAAATCTTTAATACTACTATAGTAGTGGATGCAACTTCTATTCAAAATGAAATTACAGATTATATATTTCCAAAAATACATAAGCATAATTTTTTTCTCTCCTTAAAAAATATATCAGTATATGTGTTAGTATTTTTATTGACGGAATATAGGTACTACGCTAATATATTAAAATTTTAGCATTCCACATGCATATTTTCTTTTGATCAAATCAATTAAATTCATTACTAAATTAATTACGCATGTATATATTTATTTTTTTGATAACAATTACGCATGTATATTTGAAGAACTTGAAATGGGTTTTACTCTTTCTTTTATTTCTCTTATTTATCACCAAAAAGAAAAACATATTACATTGATCAATGAACATATTTGTCTTAATTAGTCTTCATCAGTAAAGGTTATGCCGTTAAGCATGACTTTGCATTAAATGTAATCTTCAAGTAATGGTTAATGGAATAATGGGTAATCGATCTTACTGAATTTTTTA